ATATGTGCTCTTTTCCCTTTTCCCACTCTGTCTGCTGTCATTAAACTCTTCAGGTTCAAACTCCTTGTTTAAACCTGTACATTAGTTTTCAGATGAGCTGTACTACCATTCCTCAAAACAGATTTCATGCCACCCTACAATTATTTCTGACTTCTGTACATCCCTGTATTACACTGTTACAAGTGTATCAAACATAAATCCTGTTATATTTAGAAAACATCAGAATATGCCCAGTACCTATTGCAGGGCTCCCAAATATTTTTTATTGTCTGTTTTAGAGCCCTGTTCCACTTGTTTGTACTTTGGGGCCTTTGAGACGACAAATGCATAATCAGGGGTCCCAAAATATTAGGGAGCCAACTGATGAAAGTTTTTAGGAGCTGTCCATCCTTAAGGAATGTGGACTTTAAGGAATATTCGTAGTAATTGATACACTTTGCTAGAGCTTTAAGAAAGGGAAAGGAAGGGATTTGTATCAGTTACAGTATAAATATTTAAAATCTTCTGAAGGTTCAAAGAAGATCAACTTTATTTTCTGATGAATGGAGATAATACAATGGAACAGGAACATTTACATGAGTCTATTCAGCAGTATGCATAAGTGTCAGAAAAAAAGCTTTAAGCTTTTAATGTTGGACTTAAAATTCAGGGAGAGAGATGAGGATGATACACAAGGTTAGTTCTGTGCGTTTCTTCTGACGCCAAAATGATTATGTAACCTGCTCAAAGAAGTTAACTGTTCTTTTTCAATCCTTTATGCTGACCCGCTTTCAAACTTTTTACTTGAACTGAATTTTAACAACATTGTGTCTTGCAGAGATAATTTGGAGTTAGAAAATGGCAAGTAGATTATCAGTAAGCATTATCTCTAATTTAACATGTTGCTTTTTACTCTCTGTATAGAACGGAGCTAACTGTCACACATCACAGTAAAAACTACTTAAAATTTAAACTGTGTAGGGACAAACTGTGATCTCATTCAATAAATCTTATTCTAAAATTAATGTTATTATTTTTCCATATTTGTCTTCAAGAGTAGCTAGAATTAATTTTTATTCCTTAATTATGACCTTGTAAAAAAGTAGTAATATTTTAACTGCATATAGCTGATGGTAGCTATTGGTAGCGAACCTTGTCTCCTTAGGATTCTCTTTATGCCATTTTTTTTAAATCTATAAATGTTTCAAAATAATCTATAAATGATTCAGAAAAAAAAAACATTGCAGCTTGCTTAATTAGTAGTATCTTGTTCATGTGTATAATCAGTATGTCAATTGTGGTCTGGCTGCAGAGCCAGTGAGTTACATAGGAAGAGTCTACCTAGAGTGTGGTGTTCAATGTTTAAAGTTCAGCAGAACCAAAGGCAAGTTCCACAGCTTAGATTGCATTGTTTGTGAAGAGAGAAGTCAGAAAAAGAGCTTTCTAAACAGTAAATAGAAGTGAAATAAAATTTGCATAACAATCTTTGCATTTTAAAAACCACAAATAGAAAAATTCTGCACCTCCCATTTCTTCTTTTTAGAGAAAGTAAAAGAGCATGGAATTTTTTAAAATTTAAATATAAAAATGTGTTCTTCTGTGTGTTTGACATTTGTGAATAGAGATGGAATAGAGCAATTCAGTATGACTAAAATATTTATTCTGGCAAAATTTGTTTCTTAGCTTAAGAAGTTGATGTGTTTATAATAATTATTTTAAAGTATCAGTTCAGTCTGTGCAGAACACAGAAGAATAAGATGAAACATTTGAAGACTTTAGAAAATGAATGAAATTGAATTTGGGATATAAAAAGTTAACCTCCAAAAAGACGGATCAGAAAGTTGAAAGTTGAAGTTAAGGCATGCTCAGAATGTCCGATTTTTCTCCATTTCTAGCGCCCGCCCCCCCCACACACACACAGGTCAGCTGTTTTCCTGAGAAATCATTCTTAAGATTCCTTTTGTAATTGAATACAGCAATACGTCAGTACTAGTTGGTATTAGTTTTAGTTGGTATTTTTAAGCTTTTATAATACAATATAATACATATTTTGACCTAGTTTGGGTTTGATAGTTTTCACAGCTGCCTTTAAAACATATATCCTGCAGTTTGTTTTGCATGGGAGAATTTAATTGCATTTGGAATATTATTATGCAAGTAATATGAAGACTTGGAGAAAACATTTGAAATCCATCTGTAAAATCTAGTGGAAAGAGACTACTGAAACAATGTATTTGATCAATCCCTGCTCAAGGTTTTACAATGTGTAGCTGTCTTGTGACTAGCAAAAGCTCTTTCACTGAGTATTTGAGAAGCAAGTGTGTTCAAAAATATGTGCCCCTTCACAAAGCACAGTGCTGAGATGCCTCTTTTCCCCGCTGTTAAGGGCAGTTTTTTTTCTTCCTCAAGAAAACAGTTCCCCCTTAATGACTCAAAAGTAGTCCTTTTGCCCTGTCCTTTCCATGGTCTTGCAGGTGCCTTGCACTGCAGACTCGTGCCAGAAATAAATGTAGATACAGCACAGCATGAAGTTTTAACATCCAGCAGCTTCTGCAAAGGACTGTCAAGAACAATCTGCAGTGAGACTGGTTTTGGCATATAGATTTTAAGCTGAAACAGTCCAAGGAAGGAAGTGCTATTTGCCAGTTCTCACCACCATATGTTTAATTTTAGTGTAACACACAAAGAATATGGGGACAGCAGCTGCTCTAGAGGGAGGTGGCCACTTGTTAGCAGATTTTCAAACTTTTCTGAAATGTCTACTCATTTTTTTCTTACTGATAGTTTTTTTTCTCCTTTGCATATATAGGGCATCTTAAATAGAAATCTATTTTTAGACCACTGTAAAAAGTGGAAAGTGAGATAAAAATTATTTTAGAAGATCTCTGATACTCAGTTTTGTAGTTCTGAAATGTAGGTAGATTTTTATTGTCTCAATTTTCATTCACAGCTGATGATGTTGGAAACACACATGAATTAAGTATTTTCTAGGTTTGTGTATCTGCAATAGAATGAAATCTACTATCTTTCTCTGATTTCTAATGTGTTTGACCTTCCTCCTCCATGGAAGTCAATGTCAAGATTCACTGATTTCAGGGAGAAACATAGCCAGAACATCAATGAGAATTTAGAGCTGAAAAGGAAAGAGGTTCAACATGATGGGAACGGAGTAATCAGCCTCTCTTAGCATCACCACCTCAGCAGTTTTGAAAGGCATTTTGTTCACTCCTACCTAAGATCTTCCTGTTCTTTGAATGTAACAGTTCTGTCAGATATGCCTAGCTACAATTGATTTGTAGGTATGTGGAAAACAGGGTTTCTTACGTGAATTTTGTCATCTGGGGGGAATTTACAACAGCACATAAAAGAAATTATGGAAAATGATTGTACAAGTTAGTAAAATTATTATACTGTATTACTGTATTTTTGAGTGGCAATGTTTTACATTTACTCATAACTCAGGTGGTTCATGTAGGAGCTAGAGATGCCACCATTATTTTTGGAAGGAGAAATCTCTCTGGGATAGAGATTTTTATATTATGGTATGTTGCTCACTATAGACATATCTCACTCAGAAAAAGAAATCACCTTAAAATATACACCAAAAATACTTTGCTGATGGAGAGATGATTCTTACAGAAAAGCTGGATTTTTCACTTACCTCAGTTCTAGGTCAGTCTGTTCTTTCCTATCTGTCCTTCATTCCTAAACCCACTGAAATTGGTGGGTGGTTCTCTGTAACACTTACTTACTTGGTAATAATTCCTTAGAGTCCTACTTTTCCCCCTTTTGTGGTAGCACTTATTTAAGAAATGAAATCTAAATAGGATTACTAGTTTTGTAATTTCTGTTTACCATTCCCCACGTTGTCCTTCATCACATGACTGTTCCCTAGATATGCTGGGCTCTAAAGCCTGAGCATGGACATTATTCTAGCTATAGTATTGGAGGCCTAATTCTGCAAAACAGGCAGTTTCTTTCAGTCACACTCGAGAGTTTTGTTTAGTCAGCCCAAAATCTTCGTGCAATAGTGTGATATTTTGTTAGTTGTGAAAATACTTTTTCTTCGCTTGCTTCCTATAGGTTCAGTTTTAGCCCTAGGTTAAGCAAACACTTCCCTAATTCTACAGAGGGCAAGAAAATGAAGTTGGCAGCAGTGGGTAGCATCCTCATTGCTTCAAGCTGTCTGAAATCTCCCCAGCATGGCAACCTCTGGCGTTGAGGTGTATTGCAACTCTGATGAAATTCGTAAATAAAACTGGTGGTGGTTTCTTTTTTATTTCTTCCTACTTGGAATAGAAAGTCCAAGCTCTCTGAGCAAATTGCCAAGTGCTGAGAACTGTCAAGAGATGCAAAATGATTAGCATGTTCTTTATCTTTCCTTGTTTTCCTTTTTTTTTCCCTTCATCAAATATATAAAGCATTTACTGTCTGAAGCAGTGGCCTGAAGTATGGTAATTCTGGAAATGAGTGTTTTGATATATAGAACTGTTATTTTAGATTGTTTGACATACCTTTTTAGTGGAAATTATTAGATGTAGATTCATTTTAAAATATAAAACACCTCATAAAGGACAACTCTTCCTTTAATCAATTAAAGGATTATACCCATTTATACCCATGAAAGCCTGCAAAATAATAGTTCTAAGCAAGTGATAAAATATTATGTTTGTGACAAATGAGAATTAATTATATAGAACCTAAAGAAAAGGACTTCATTTTTAATGATATATTGCCCAAGCACCACAAGCTCTTCAATTGCCTCTGGCTCATTTAAAACAAAAAAAGAGATCAAATGTATTTATTTAGGCAAGAAAGCTTTCCTTGTCATGAGCATAGTTGCTTCCATTCTGTTATAACTCTGAGGTATTTGGTACTTTTAAAAAAATTGGAATAGATGATTGCCCAGTTAGGGGTTTAAATCTCAATCCCTACACTGCAGCTTTGTCATTACCAGGCAGAAGTCATTATTACTGCTAATTGTGAGAGGAAACCGTATCTGTGTTCTCTCTTTCCTCCAGCCACCGGAAAAGGAGGGTGGCCTGCCTCGGCAGGTGGGCAATAAGACGGAGTGTGGCCTCCTGGGGTTTGTCCTGGACTTGAAGCAGGATTATGAGCCTGTGCGCAACCTCATCCCTGAGGAGAAGCTCTATAAAGTTTACACTTTCAACTCGGTGCGGAAGTCCATGAGCACTGTCATTAAAATGCCCGACGGCAGCTTCCGCATGTACAGCAAAGGGGCCTCTGAGATCGTCCTCAAGAAGTAAGTCCAGTGCATTGCTTGCTGTGCTTTGACAATGCAGAATAATCTGTCAATACTAAAATATACTTTCTTTTTTAAACTAAAACAAGGTGTTCCAGGATCCTTAATGCAGCTGGTGAACCTCGTGTCTTCAGGCCACGGGACCGTGATGAAATGGTGAAGAAAGTGATAGAGCCCATGGCCTGCGATGGCCTGCGAACGATCTGTGTGGCTTTCCGAGACTTCAGCAGCAGCCCAGAGCCTGACTGGGACAACGAAAACGACATCTTATCTGACCTGACTTGCATTTGTGTTGTTGGCATTGAAGACCCAGTAAGGCCAGAGGTATGTCACACCCCTAATGCTATAGAGTACTTCCCTGAAGACTGAACACACATTGAACTAGTTTTATAATACTCCCGAAGAGAGAGCATTTTTTTTCCTTGGTGAGGTGCAGTTTTCAGCTTAAGGGAAGTGCAGTGATTTTAATTCCAGTGTGACACTCACTTCTCACATAAATCACAAGCAATCCTGGAGGAAGCTTTTTGTAAGTTGCCATTTCACAAGTTTATTAGGCTTGTAAATGGTGGCTTTTCAGTAACAACATTTTTATGCTGTATTTGGACAATGAAAAGCTTCATCAGTGAAAGGTTGCAGATTTCATGGATGAGTTGTAAGTTTTGATTAAAATTTCAAATAAGTCAGCTAAAAAATCAGTATTACACATGCACAAAGGAGGCATGTAATAAATTACTCTTCACTTCAGTTATTTCTTCATTTTGACTTGCCCAAAGATTTTTAAAACTTATATTCTGAAATAAAAATAGTTGTTTTTATCTCCACGGTTGTGAAAACTGAAGCAGTGGGATGTCGTGCCACTCCCCCTGCAAACCGTACTAGCGCGGTACTGCAAAGGGCAGGCTAAGGGCAGGTGGTTTCTGGCATACGTACAGGTCGCAGGAGAGGTGATTGGGCCTTCCATAAGAAGCGGGGCCTGTCCCCGGGTGCTGCGGGGCACTGCTCCCTGGCACTGCGCGGGCACGGCGGCAGCAGGGACGGGCCACCCGCTGCTGGTCCTGCAGCTACCTCCACAGGGCACTAAGGGCTGGGGAAAGGTCAATTCCTGAGGACTCAGATTGCATAAAAGGAGTGAGTTGTTCATACTGAAAAAGACAGAAGTAGTAGTAGTTCTTTTTCTCTCTCTTCCCTTTCATTTTACATTTATGTTTGTTCCATTTACAATGGATGGTGCCAATGCTAGACATACTAGGGAAGCTATTTTTTGCTAAAACCTCAAAGGTGTACACCCGTCTGGTTTAGACTGATTTGTTTCCCTAGGTCCTCTATGAAATGGGCTTTTAAATGCTTCTGGTTGCAGTAACTTTGGAAAACGTTTGGAGGAAGTTATCATGGTATAGTTACAACCAGAGGGACAAATTGTATAACTTTACATTACATAACTTACTTTACATAACTTCACATAGGACAGCATCATTTCTTGGCTTTTTTCAGTATCAAGGAAGGCATAATGTAAGTGAAGTCTTGGTTAGGTGAAAACTGTATGATAAATTCTGTATCTGCAGTCATGTGACAAACAGCAATTACTTGATCCGTCGTCTGGTCTCTTGCTATCTGTTAATCTGTCTGTCCCTACATCTGACATTGCCCGTCTTTTAAAATGTTTTAAAGCACTTCAAAATATTTTAAAATACTCTGTCTTCAAAAATCCAACTCTCAAATGCTGTAAGTCATAAAATAAACTCAGAAATTTCCTAACCAGTGACCACTGAAACCACGAATCTGTCCCCTTTCCCTGCAAAACTGATTCAAGATGATATTGTTGGAAATAGCCTGAACTCAGGGAATGGGTGGTATCACCATCTGAGGGAATGGGTAACAGTGGGATCTGCAGTTGTTATTTAACATAGCTGTAAACTATCCTTTCATCTGTTTATTATATTTTATGAGAGAACTGCTCTCATCTCATATGGGGTAATTTCTTAGGAGCTTGAAGTAAAAATGAATTGTATTGCTAAAAATAAGGAGGTCAAGCCTGACATCTATGCAAAGGATCAGAGAAGGCACCAGACTTTTTTTCTAGAGAATTATTTGAATAAAATAGTGAATATCTTGTAGGTTAGAAATCAAAAATGCTCTAACACTTCTTATCTCATAATACTTCCAGTAAAATGTTTATCATTTCAGAATTTTACCAAATGTTGAAGAACATTACAGTTGTCCCAGGACTTCGCGTTTGGCAAGGTTTTTTCCTGGAACCTTTTAGAGTGGTAATAACATAGCAAGAGCATTTAGAAGAATGTTTAAAATTTTACCAATCCACATGTGGGTGAAAAGCAGCAGCGAGGCCTTAAGAGGAAGAAATATGCCCCAAAAACACTACAGAACAACAACAAAAAAAAATTCAGAGCACCGACTAGGTGTGTAGCATCTGACCTAGTAGGAAGAAGGTATCACTAAAATTACTATGTAACTGCCAATAGTTAAGATGTTGATAAGGCGATTTACTATTTTGCCAGAAATAAGCATATTTATTAAATAGAGACCACTGGTCTTTATGAATTTTCAGAATGTTCCCTGTAGGAGCAAAAGAACCTAAAAATAAACAGTACTATGAGAGTTATGCTAATATTTATCCTGCCAGAAATAGTACATTAGTTCATTCAAATGCAGTGTCACCAACCTCATGGCCTTTGGTTTCCCTTAAGTTTCTTTTCTGGGAAAACCTCCATTTTTCCTTTTCCTTAACATGATCTTTGGAGTTAACACATGTAAAGTTGTAATTTGCTGCTGCTGTGCGGCTCCTGTGCATGGTGTTAGTGTGTGCCCCTGGCATGGTCAGATGGATGAGCGCTTGCAGTGTCGCTGCTGTCACAACAGCCACAGTCACGGAGGCAAGAGTGCTGGGCCTGTGTGAATATACTGCTGCATACTGCACACCTCCTTGCTTATTTAGGTTTATTAATTCAGAGGCTAAATTCAGATTTATTCATTATCAGTAGCTCTTTTATCATTCACTAAACTACCTGCTAGGTATTTTGCTTTATTAGGTCTGTGTTTATGTTGCTTTTTGATAAAGACCAAACAGAATCATGTCTTGTGCCTGTAGAGATTTGTCTGTTGATTTTGACAGCCTTTTTGGTTTCAGTAAGTCTGATTGTTAATAGATTGCCAAAGTACAACTACAATCTGTTATTTCTTGGGGGGAAAAACATAAATTACTTTCAAACTCCACCTGTTTATTTGTCACTTGATTCCAAGATGTGTTCCTGCTTGGGTAGCTTAAGCATGCATGCATTAAAAGGTTTTCTTTGATGAAAGAAAATAAAATCTATTTTTTTCAATTGTGTATTTAAATTCTGCAAAAGGATGGAAAATGTCTGCTTCCACTGCCTACTCAGTCTGCCAACACTCTCTCTTCCCTATAGCAATAAAAGAATATGAACAATATTTTAACCATAATTACTGTACACAGTGTTCAACCAGATACCACCCACCAGCTGTCCAAAAATAAGAGGAAAATAGAATGATTTCTCTTTTTATGTATGAGTTTGAGGTGCATTTGAAACTAGGTTGTCCTCCCATGACCTTGTTGAACAGGGCTGGCACTTTATCTGAATATTTCTAGTTTCTGTGTTTAGTACTGTAATTTATTTTTCTCCTTCCTGATTCCTGCTTCAAACTGTCGTGCCTCATTCATGACGGTCTCCAGAGTCAGAAGAAATACTAAGGGCATTTCACATTGGCAAATGAACTATAATCAGCATTATTAATGTGGAAAATGGGTAAATCAGACGACATTTACCTAAGTAATGCATGTAATCCATTTCTGTATTCCTCCTTGAAGGCTGTTTCATAACTTTACGAAGTCTTCCAGTACTCCAAAGCAATGTCTTTCAGGATACAACTCAGGAGATGACTAAACCTCTGTCCGTCACTGAATCTTCTTGCTGGTAGAGTCCATCCTCACAGAGTCATTCTGCAAACAGCATGTCTGAGTGATCTTCTTCATAGTCAGGAGAAAAGTACTGATCTGCTCTTCCTCTAGGTGTTAGGTTAAAGAGGCATTTTGTAAAAAAAGAAGCCTTGCTGGCCCCATGAAATGATCTTAAGTGCAGGCAGCACTGGCCATGCTGGACCACAGTGGTAGTCACCAAGGAAAAGGCAACATCCTGCCCCAACGGTGGTCCTGCTTGTAGCTCTTGAGGAAGTAGAGGTATCTATCAATGCACAAGATAGCGCTACACAGAAACGAGATTCAATGAGATTAATCCAGTCCTCAGCTTGCACCAAGTTTACGATACGCTTTCATCTCCGGTAGAAGTTGTGATGAGCAAGTTGCCATGACTGGGCAGCAGAATAGAGCAAAGGCTTATTTTTCCAGCTGGCAATCTCTGTTCTGCTCCCCTTTTTTAAAATAAAAGGATATTAGATTGTGTGCTGTGAAAATTATTGACAAATTATTTTAAAATGAAATTTTTTTTTATAATTGTATCCTTTGCTTAGTAGTTCCTCTAGAAAACCAATGATAATTCATTGAAGTTTGACAACCCAGATAGTTTAGGTATGTCAGTATGTCAGCTGGTGCATCAAGTGGAGAAGTCTATTCGGCCGAGAGGAAAAAGATTCCTAGAGAGCAGCATGACTTGAACTGGTTTATGAATATTAGGCAGAAGATCTCCAGAGGAGGATCATGACTTGGATTAGTCTCTGAGTATTAGGCAGTGCTCCAGAGGAAGCTTCTGGACAGTGTCAAGGTTACCCCATGAGTTTCAAGAGCACCAAGGGTCTAGAGCGAGCTGGTAGCTCCGCAGTGATGCCTACCTTTACGTAAGGCACACACAAAAGCACGAGGAAACTGCATTCACTGTTTAGAGTGATTAGTTAATAAGCAATAAATTATCATTAATTATAGCACAGTTTAAAGGAATTTATTTTCTACCCACCACTGAATTCTAGCTATTACCTTTCTGTTGGCATTTAACTTCATATACCCAGGTGGCTATATTTAAAGAGCTTTCCTTAATTATCAGGAATCTATTTATTAGCATTTGCACGTTTTCTTTACCAAAAATTGAATACAAGCTGGGTCTGATGTCAATTGAATGTTAGCTCTACATTTATCTCATGGATCTGGTTATGCACTGAGTTCTTGCATTGCATATTATGCCCCAGGAAAAGTCAGTTTCATACCTAAATGCCTGTAACTAAAACAATGATTCATTCTCACAGTTTTGAAATAAACGTGTAAATGATTCACATAAATTTAACCTTATGTATGTTTAGAAATTTCACCTAATGATATGCATGAATTATTGCATTCTCATAAGTTATAATAACTTTTTAGATAACCTTACTGAAAACAGAGTCTGAATTAGAAGGTAGATAATTTTTAACATGCTATACTTTGATGCTAAAGGTTCAAAAAAGCCACAGAGCTCATTTGCAGAATCTTTAGGCAACTGATATGAATAACAATTTCTGTGTTCTCCCTTGTTTCACCTGCAGTGTAACCTTAATTGAATAAAAGGTAGCCACTATATGTATGGCATCTATTTTTGCTTCTTGAAGCTTCTCAACTTAAAAATAGTCTGTGGGGAAACATCTGGTATCTGCTATCTAGGAATCTTCATTCTCTGATATATTGCATTTATAGGTCCCTGAAGCCATAAGAAAATGCCAGCGAGCTGGAATTACAGTCCGCATGGTCACTGGAGACAACATCAACACAGCCCGTGCCATTGCCATAAAATGTGGAATCATTCACCCAGGAGAAGAC